CATTACTTTTTACAGCTGCTTACCCAGAAGCCTTTTAACTTATTTTAGCACCTACCGTATTTACAATGTCGTTTTTAAATTATTTTGTATCTCATTTATGCATTGTTTTTATGAATCTGTTATTCCATTATGTTTATGTATTGTGTTTCTTTCTGTTGTCTTACTATTATGTGATAATGATCATGTACTGTAAAGCACTTTGAATTGCCTCTGCGTCTGAAATGTAAAAACAGACACAATGGGTGTGTGAACGTATCTTCTCAGTGCAGTTAACGCTGACTAATTAACAACCATGCAAATGCCTGTGTCTAATGCGCTGTTAGCATTTAGTCATGAGCGTGTAGAGACTAATTTGGTTAACCTTTTAAATGTACGCTAGCTTGGCAATCTACTGTTTAGAACTCCAGATGTTGATTTCCCTTGTCATCCTACTCTTTCAACAGCATCCAACATTTTAGTCAACTAAATCAAGTCATAAACTGTCTTTAAAGGGCTAGTAAAGTGATTCAATATTGCACTTCCATAAAGGCCCTGTCACACTGTCCCGAAATTGACACCCGATGGACACACGAATATGGAATTGTGAATTTCGCACGATGATGGCCCCGAACCACACACGAAGGCAACATTTACATTACATTTAAGACATACAACTGCAATGAAAGTACCAAAAACAATTGTGTTACAGTACTATGATACTGTACTGATATCTTCAGACTTTGTTCTTTACTTTATCCGTCGTTATATGTAGAAAATATTACGTTTTCTCCGTAATGTTGTTTCCATAACAACAACAACTTCCTGTCAACTGTCCTTCAAAATAATATATTATATCCTTTTTAGTTTCACAGAACACAAATTGGGTTATTTACATAATATATTTACATGATTTTGTTGTGCAATAAAACAACCCGATGGACACACGATAAAGGAAATGTTCAAATTCGGCTGTGATCGTAGCAACATCGGGCCATTCGTGAGGGCATCTTAAGCCATCGTATGACCGCCGGTGGAGTTTCTCAGGCTCCGGCAGCAACTTCGTGAGCGGTGGCAAAATCTTTGGCATGCCAAAAAATTGCCGAAGGACCTTGCGAAGGTTCATTTTCGTGTTGAATTCGTGTGTCAATTGTGCCCTTCGTAAGGCCATCGTGAGGGCATCGTGTTATCATCGGTGCCATCGGGCATTCGCCCCGATCAGAGTGAGGGCGAATGCCCGATGGCACCGATGATAACACGAAGATGACAAGATGTCCTCACGAGTGCCTTACGAAGTTGCCGCTCACTAAGTTGCTGCCGGAGCCTGAGAAACTCCACCGGCGGTCATACGATGGCTTAAGATGCCCTCACGAATGGCCCGATGTTGCTACGATCACAGCCGAATTTGAACATTTCCTTTATCGTGTGTCCATCGGGTGTCAATTTCGGGACAGTGTGACAGGGGCTTAAAGGCTTGCATGAGACAGATAAAAAAAAAGACCATTCAAAGACAACACAATAGAAACTGAGATATACAGTATTCCCTAGTTTTGTCCCATGAATGCTTGATCCTACACTTCCCATAATGCCTCTTTCGATGACACCCTGCCTGCCTGATAAACAACCAATGCTTTTGAGTTGATTCCCAAAGTTTGAATGTTTTCCAAGACAAATATAGATGCGAAGGTGGAAGTTCTATTTTAGGCGTTCCATTTTTTGTCCTGATATACTCACTACCAACCCTTCAGACGTTAGCTGTTAGCTAGAGGCTTCGGCCGTGTCTATGGGAGTGTGCCTAATGTGAGCTTAAGTCAAAGGCTGAGCTGAACACAAGCACACAGAGATGGTGCTTTCTGTGGTTTCCCTCCAGACTCTCCTTCTTCTTCCCCTATCTATAAATATATGAAATAAGCACAGGGAAACACACAGATTTTTTTTAACTTGCATTTTTCTACTGCTGGTAAGTTATTTTCTTATGGTATTGTCGACTTAAAATGTACCAGGCTTTCTGTCTGAACACACGATCAGCACAAAATATGAACAAAAGTGTTACAAATGATCTGGTTCTTTGAAAAAAGTTGCAGGTACAAGACTGTATAAATAGTATAGGAAACATCCCCTATATCACCGAGCAGAGAAAATACAATCTGCAGCTTGGATGATTTCATTTGACTACGGTTTACATTTTAACGATTTAAAACAACTGTGTCAATGGGAAGTATTTTATATTCGCAACAGCTCAAAATTGTGCAATTTAATTGCTTCTTCTACATGGCAACAGTGGCTGAGGCTGATAAGTATTGTGGTATTTAGACCTAACTGCCTAAAGAAAAAGTTGAAATAATTAAAACTGGTGGCCATAACATTACTCTATAGACTCACCACATTATTATCCGATTGACTTAATGTTACGTCCCGACCAGGGGAAGAGGAAAGCAACATACACCAGATTGGAATTGGTAATAATCATAAATGGTTTTATTATACCAGGGTGAAACAAAATGGCAGGCAGGCAGCCTGAAACAAACAAAGTGGCCACAAGGGCGCAAGTTTAAATGAACAACCAAACAAAGGGAGGACTCTAAAAAGGGAGCCTGTTTACATACAAAGAAATAGATAATAAACTAAAGAGTAACTAAAACCCTCACTGTCAAAGTGGTACTAACTAACAAAGGAAGGCTGTAAGAAAACACGGCTAAGGTAGAGGACAACAGTCAAACAATACTAAACTAATCTAAGCACATCTAATCACAACAATACTGACAAATACAGACCACACGAGTTAACCACTGTTAACAGCTTTGCACACAAACTAGCGAGAGGCGTCTGTTCACTCAACAGAGCCTCCAGAGTGATGATTGTCCTCAGGCTTTGTAGTCATCTCCAGCAGGTGTGCGCCGGCTGTGCACTGCGATTGGAGTGCGTCGGGCCCGGCGTGCTCCAATCACAATCTTCAGGGGGCGGACCAGGAGATGGCAGCCAATGACGTCAGGGCAACCGCACAGCTCATTTGCATATAACACAGCTTAACACAATCAAGACGACCTGGGGGGGTGTACTACGAAGCAGGATTTCCGCTTAGCCGGCTAACTTCAGGGAAAACTCGGGGTTTCCGGTCCTAAGAAGCTGGTTCTCTTTTTAGCAGGCTCGATCTCCATGGTAACTTATGCTGTGCGGCTAACCTGGGGAGTATACTACGAAGCAGGATTTTCGTTTAGCAAGATAACTTCTGGGATTTCCGGTTCTACGAAGCTGGTTCACTTTTTAGCGGGCTAGATCTCCATGGTCACTTATCCTGGAACTTAGTCTGTGCTCCGAAGCAGGATAGGTTCCAGGATAAGAGATCAACTCAGCGAAAGCACCACGCCTGCTGACCAATCAGAGCTCAGTGTGCGCAGTTTAAACTGCCGTTGCAGGAAAGACGGCCGGCCAAAATCACCGACTGTGAACGTGAAAATGAATAGAACATCACCTCCCATCTTCAGAGCAGTCTGACTATTATAACTATTATACTATTATGTTAAGAAAGCTTAATTAAATATCTGCCACAACATAAGTAACCGGATCAAAGTAACATTACGTTGCCTACAGTCCGCGGCACTGTGAGTGCAGACGTCGATATGTCCCATTATCATTCATATCACATCATAATGTATCATATTTTCTTATCTGAGTCAGCTGAGCCGTATCTGGCCGTGCAACACTCACAGTGTCACATACTGTATGCAGAAGTATTATTTTAAGCAACACATTAAGTTGACGAAACACTCGAGACAAATGTAATTAAAGTCAGATCCACTCGTGTCTTAGATGGCCGTGATATCATAACCCTGTTAATGTACGCATTCAAACACTTTTTATTTTACCAGCTGTATTCACCTTGCAGGTGCAGCTATGTGGCTTTTATCCTGGATAAAGTGTTTAAGTCATGGATGTTTAAAGTTGAACGTCTTCATATTTGTCTAATTATATAGTTGACTTTTCATTCAAGGAAGTATGACGCTGCGGTCTCAGTACCCTTGTCCATGTTTGTGATTGGTCGAATGCTCCAAATACCACCCCTTTCATGTGAACGCGCACCTAACTAGATAGGCCACGGCTGGCTTGAGCGATCCACTTGATAACCCGCGTCGTAGTACCGTTTAGCGAGAGCGCGTATGTTTTGGATTAGGCCAACCGGCTAACTCACACATATCCAGGTTAGGTTGAACCAGCTTCGTAGTACAGGCCTCAGGAAGGCAGCAGCCGTAACACTTAGATATCTCTATGTTGAGCCAATTTCTATGGAGACACCCCTGATGACATTACTATGGGAATTCTTCTAGGTTTCTAGGTCTGTCAAACCATTTCCGAGCCTTAAGTTACATTATACAACTGTTTACCCAATTGGTACATGCTGATTAAATTGACTTTGATGAAGGAAATTGGTGAAGTTTCTCTTTACCACCAATGGTAAACCACAAAGCAAATGTGCGAAATTGTTATACGTCAACAAATTGCAAGTCAACCAAAGGTAGAACACTTGATGGTCTACATCGTACTGTGCATCTAGATACTCATATTTGAACATTTTCCTTTAAGAAATTTGTAAAGCTTGGTACAGCATGTGTAAGAAAAAAATCATTGGAGACATTTGCTTGTGTATTTCACCATTACCTTTATGGACGTGGCTTACCCTCGAGGCCTTTTAACATCCTTCATTAATGCTGTTACTCATCACCTCCCATCTTCCCATCCCCCATCCTTCATCCTGCCTTTCTCACATTGCCCTCTTACTGTCCGTTCTGAGCTCTGCCCCCCCCACCCTTCGCTGTCCCTCCTATTAAATCTCCCTTCTCTGGTGTCACTGTCCCTTTCTGTCTTGTCGCCCTGGCCTCATTTGTCCTCTGGCTCTCTCGTTTTCACATTCTGGCCTCTATAAATCTCCTTTTCTTGCTCCCTGTTGTCCTCTTGTCATCCATATTCTTGTCTCACCGTTATCCTCTCTTCCCCTCCCTTCTTGTATCTCTCTGTATGCTGTTTAGGCCACTTCATCTATGGATCAGTACTCACATCTGAAACCGAAGGGATTCCATGAGCAGATCGACCGGACTTGCATCCCCGCAGAGAGCAGCCCATCAACACTGATGCCCCGCACGAAACTGTAGAGCAGCGAGGCCAAGGGGTCAGGGAGGGAAGGTCAAGGACGACAGACCCGAAGCAGGAACTGAGGTTGAAAGGTTTCAGGAAACAATACTTAGAGGCTGCGAGATCAACCAGGAAGGACAGTCTCATTGACGGGCAAGAGTCAAGAGGTCAAAGATGATGACGTCACATGTAAAGCTGAGGAGGGAGAAGGGAAGTCTGGCCGAGTACGATTCGCAGATGAAAGGTAAGCCACTATGGATGTGCGTGCACCTAATTACAAATGTACATTACTTTAACATTATCAGTTGTTTTTACTTCCAATCTAATGATGTAGCAGGGAAAACCAATGAGTAGCGGGTAAAATACATCCACAACGTCAAGGGGAATAGTATTAGGTTTCACCTTTACGCAGGTAAGGTTAAAGGCACCAAAAGTATCTGTTAGGTTCAGAAGAAGGATAATGGTTAGGATTAAAATAAGTACTGTATGCCTACATTTGTCACGTTACATTACATGGGGTGTAAAGATTGTCACCAAGAACTGGTTCCCATCGAGAAGCTACGTGTGTTGTTTCATGTTTCAGTAAGTTTCAGACCGGAGCCATGGCGTAAAATAATAAAATAAGGACAAACTAATGTCTGAGGCGACACATCCCATTTTTTCCCCCTGATAATGCGACATGGTCAACAAATGAACAGGAGAGATAAGGAGTGGTGCGGTGATGACGTGCTTTAGGCTGACATGGAAGTTAGCATCGCAAAGGCTCCCTCGACAAAAAGCTATGGGATTTCCCCATTGGATTTTGGTAAATTACAGACCTTTTTTCAGGCTTCTAACCACAAACCTGTTCAAATCACCATTAACTTTCACAGACAGGAAGTGGTGAAATGCTAGTTTAAGATACTAAGATGTGTTTTCACAGCAGTAAACAGTCAAATAGATATTAGAGACCACAATTTTTTTTAACCCAAGCATATGTTTAAATACAAATATATTTTCTTTTATTTCCTATATGAATTGTGTTTTATGCAAACGCTATAGCTGATAATAACGAAGTGAAAAAAAAAATTAAGCCATTTACCCTTTTTTTTTTACGATTGATCGAATCGGTATTATTGATACATTCCCATGCCTAGTTTCACGTGAATTACATATGTTGCATCACTTTGCTTACTTCGGCTACGTCAGTTAAAATAAAATAACATTTACTTTTTGCTTTACATCCATGCTCCTATCTGCCCTAAGTGGACTTCATTGTCTCCTCATGCTCTTACCAGTGAGCAGCCATGTCAATAGATGATAACAGCGTTCTGTACCTATTCGTAGGTGTTGCAGCCCCCTTCTAACACATATCTAGGACACTGATAACTGCCATGTAATGGCAGATATCATTCGAAGTGGGTGGTGTGTGTGTCCTGTGCTTGTCTCCATGTACATCTGTGCCCTTTTATTGCACGTCTGTTTGTGCCGCTGCACTCGCCTGCATGCATGAATGCATATAGGATAGCACATGTGCGTTCATGCATGAATGAGTGCTCTACACATTCATCCAGCTGCAGACTATCAGTGAACGTCTGCGGCAACATACAATTTATAACAACACAAACATGCTGCTTGGTCATATTTGACATATTGCAGTTAGCAAAATAACCTCACCCTCAGTTAGAATAACATGTTTAAAAATAAAGTAAAATGGAGTCTCATTCAGCAATATTTAGAAAGGCGATTTATTTATTTTTTGTTCTAATCGTTTATTTGAACCGGGACAGTGCACATTGATGAACACTTTAAAACAAAAATAATGGTTACAAGTGTAAATGAGCCGGATTTTAGCTTTGAGCTAATTTCCATCCGTAGTCCCGTGACATACAACATATAAGAACATGACATTTATATGCATAGCAAAAATAAATACATGATATGCAGAAAGAGCATGAGCAGCATACAAGCATTAACCACATGGCAGTACAATGTAGCAGCTACGACATGTAAAATAATAAGATAAAAGTGCTACATAAAGTGCAAGAGGAGATACCCCTGTATAAAAGTGCATTTAGCGGTGATTACACGTCTGTTTGTTTCTCAACCATTCTTTTAGTTGACCTTTAAAACTATTGACAGTGGGAAAATCCCGTGTCTCAGTTGGGAGGCTATTCCACAATGAGCTGCCTTTAACGGAGAGTACATTTAGTCCAAAAGTGGTCCGTCTGCGGTGGACTTCACAGTCTCCTCTGGTTTCTGACCTAGTGCAGCGTCCAGTGTGTTTTTTTGTGGATGAATTCCCCTAAGGGGGGGGGGGGGGGGGCAGTCCATGTAAACATTTATAAACAGAACACATACTTTTAAAAGACTTAAAATTGTCAAAATTCAAGAAATTGTGATTTTCTAGGATGGTACAGTGGTGGTATGAATGTGGCTTTCTGTCAAACACCTTGATAGCTCTCTTGTACAGCTGTTCTGTTTGTTTCAGGTTTGTGGCACAAGCAAACGACAAGTTTGTAAAACAGTATTCAATGTGGGATAGAATCATACAGTGGAGGTATGACTTTGCAGCATTGACAGTTGAGAAAGGTCTAATTTGTTTAAAATTTAGCAAGTTGAATTTGGTATTGGATACTTTCTTGATATGTTTCTTTAAAGTAAAGTTCAAGTACAATATGACTCCAAGATACTTGAAGTGGGGGACTAGTTCTATTTCTGCTCCATTTAAAAACACGTTGGATCCTTCGATTTTGACTGGTCGTTTACTGAACATCATGCATACTGTTTTTTTTACATTTAACTGTAAGCAAATGTTGTTCAGCCAGTGTTCTTCCCATGTACAAAGATGACCGCATCATCGGCATACATTTGTACATTCAACTCAGGACATACATTAGGCAAGTCATTAATGTACAATGAAAACAGTAATGGTCCAAGAATGGAACCTTGTGAAACCCCAACAGGGTTCACAAGGTAGGGGCGATTTGGCTCCGTTGACGAAAACACACTGTTTTCTGTTCGATAAGTAAGACTTAAACCAATGTATCGAAACTGCCGAAAAATTGAAAATGAGTCAGCTTTGTAAGGAGCACTTGGTGGTCAACAGTGTCAACAGCCTTCCTGAGATCAAGGAAGACAGCACCTACATATGGGCTCGTGTCCGACATTCATTTAACCTTTTCCACAAAGACACAGTTAGCTGTCTCAGTGGAGTGGTGAGCACGAAAACCAAACTGCATTGGGTGGAGTGGAGCGAAACCTTTGTCTTGATGCTTGGTGATTAGTTTTGACACCCATTTCTCAGCTATCTTAGAGACACAGGGGAGGATGCTGATTGGTCTATAGTTGGACATCATTGCTTTATCCCCAGATTTAAAGATTGGTGTCACCGTGGCCACCTTCCAGGATGATGGAACTTCCCTCGTGCTGATAGATTGATTTACTAGCATACTAATTGGTTTTATTAGACCGTCGACATGTGTTTTTATAAAGTTGGTGTCTAAATCATATGCATCCCTAGCCTTAGAACCTCTTAACCCTAAGATTATATTTTCTACCTCAACCTCTGTGATTTCCTGCAGGTCAAAAACGGGGTGTGTATCCACAGCCGGGCTAGGTGATACCTCAGATGGCGGGAAGAGCTTTGTAATGTCCAGAGCACTATTTATGAAATACTCATTGAGAGAGCTGGCCAACACGGCAGGGTCTTTTATCAGGGCATCATTGATTTTTCATTATTTTCCTGTTTGGTATGTTTACCTAATAGTTTATTTAAGATTTGCCTAAGATTTTCTACACAAGCAAAGAAAAGCACCCCAATTTTTTTTTAAAAAGTGCCTTAAACCTGCATTCACAACAAAATCCAGCAGGAGGCAATTGCGCTGGTTGTAAAAAGAAGTCTGATTGTGGTGAAGTCTATGAGAAAATGACCCGACTTCACACTTGATTCAGTAAACATTTTCCACTGAGGTTATGGTGGCAATTGCCAGTTTAAAGTATTCTTTAATACAAGATGATGTTCTTTTTTAAATATATGGACCCATTTAGAGTAAAACATACGATAACGCTTTAGTGCGTGGCTAACTTGTGATTGGATGCTATTAGTTTTGGATGTATTTCGTGGTTTTGGCTTAGAACTTTGACTTTTAGTGTTTTTTCAATTCATAAAAGTTAATTGTAACATTTTGGTTGCCTAAAGATATTTTGTCCAGCATTACGTTGTACTTTTCCCCACCCTCTATTGTCACTTCTAGTTCATAAAACAATATAGCAATAGCTAAAACCAAGATGGCACCGGCGAAAATATCAAAGTAAAGGCTTTAACCCTCTGAGACCCACGGGGCCTTATACGATCCCAAATATCACGTTGTGTTCAAAGCGTCATAACTTCTCAGCTGTTTGAGCCAGAGACATGCCATATTTTTCCTCTTAAACTACAGAAACGGCTATAAACAACTCTATTAAGTTTTTCATTGAGAAGCGTTTACTTATTTCGGTGAAACGTATATGCATAAAGTTAGGGCTGTGCGATTATGGCAAAAATCATAATCACGATTATTTGGTCAATAATTGATATCACGATTATTTTGACGATTATTCATTGACCATTTATTGAACTTTAAAACAAATAATATTTTACCAATAAACAAGATCAATAAATGTGTTGGAGCGCACTTCCAAAACCATACTAAACATATATTAATATGATAAATAAAAATAAATTAGACCCAAATAAATGAAATCAAATATGTTGCAGTGCACTGTCACAACCTACTGAAAACTCCTTAACATATAGCCAACATTTTGGTAAAACATATTCAACATATTCCACTCAGTTAAACGTTGAAGGCTGGCCAACCGTCATGGTCCAGAAGTAACAGGAAATAAATGTTGAACTACAATTTAAGACCAAATAAAAATGTTTTGGCCACCATGGCAAATGCTGGTAGGGCTGCTCATGTCATCTCTTAAAGATTTTTTGCAAGAAATACCAGGCTGTTTACATGGTCTAGTTTCAGAGATGAGCGCAGGCAGGTGACAATATTGCCACCTGTACTGAAGACCCTCTCTGAAGAGGAACTTGTGGCAGTGCTGCCACATATGACACAGGAAAAAAAGAAAAGACTCTGAAGAACCCTTTCTTTGCCATTATATAAAAATAGTGTTGCTACAAAAGTATAAATTAGGCTTACTAATAAGACAACTCAGATCTGAAGCTACACAGTAATCTGCTGCAGCAACAGTGCAATAAAAAAGACAACATTAATAGAATCAAACCCATTTTTTGTTGCATTTTATTAGAGTATAAAAAGAAATGCCTTTAAAATAGGATGCAAGCAACACTAGTTTCTGAACTGATAGACTATAATCAATTTAAACAGAACAGATCTTAATGTTTGCATTCTTATACCATTTTGTACAATAATTATCATGAATAAATTCAAACAAACTAAAACTTACAGCAGATTAATAACGGTATTTAAATTGAATTTTTATTATATCAAAAACCTGTTGAAATGCTGCTGTTATTTTTACTGGCCCACAAAAGCGCGTCGCAGCCTCCAGGAATGCTTCTTTCACAACTTCGCCGTCTTCGAAAGACTTCATGTGTTTCGCAAGAACGTGACTGACACGATAAGATGCTATGGTAGCAGCCTTGCTCTTGTTGTTGGGCCTGGTGAAAATGGACTGCTGTGCATTTAGCTGTCCTTTCAGGCCCCTCCCCTTTTGGGAGCGTAGGGCAGAATTAGGAGGGAATTCCGTCTCGTAGCGTTTGTGCACTGTTTTGAAATGCCGCTCCTAAATTACCCTTCTTCGATAAAGCCACGCTCGCATTGCAGATGAGACAGATGGACTTTGAATTGGAATAGATACAAAAATAATGATCCTCCCACTCGGAGTGAAAATTATATATTTTGGGCTTTTTTGCTTCTGCCATAATTGCGGTCTTGTCTGTGTGCGGACTGTCACTCCTGTTGACCATCCATGCTGTTGACACGGACAACGTCAGCGAACTAGTGCACTGCTCACCAGCCACGCCCGGACACATGGGGTGAGGCCGGCCAATCACAAAGCTTTGATGCGTTCATGTGCATTATTCTGGCACGGGAACATTATGTTACAGGACATTAACGATAAAACAGAATATTGTTGTTCTATTTTTAGACACATCTCGCGATCGACTGGGAATCTCCCCGCGACCCTTCTTTTTAACTAGTTGCTGCTCTTGTTCTGACATCTTCGCTTGCGCTGAACACTTACAACACATGTCACTCCCACGTGGCCGAGTGGGCTTTTAGGGAGGGGCGAAAGCGCACCCAGCAAAATAATCGTATTTTGTCAATTATGCTGTTTTCCTAATCGTCGCAAGCCATAATCGTAATCGCGATTAAAATACGATTAATTGCACAGCCCTACATAAAGTTTTAAAAGATGCGGATAGTCTCACCTTGATTCTGGCGCATTGCTTATCCTTTTCTGTCTGTTTTACAGTAGCGTGGCGTGGGGAAAAAATTAGGGGAAGCCAATAATACGTCCTTTCTTTTGGGTCGGGGGTGTGGTGGTCAATGTAATAACGTAACCAGATGAGTGATTACAGCACCCGGTCTCATTTTACACACATTTGTATCAGATGCAGGACTTACACACGCCTGTTATCTAACCGACAGGTCCGCACGCACTCTCCAGCCCAAACTCTAATAAGCATTCATTCACAAACTAAATCAGGAGACCTTTAACGTTTTACGTCCGATTCGCTCCTTTTTTCCTCGCTGTACACAGCTCCAGTTTGGGCATCGGCCTGTCATCAGATTGTATTTGTTGTTGCCGCTGTAGCGGAAGTTTAGTACAATTATTTTTGATGAAATACTCCAAATCTCCACCCTCCATAATTGCACTTGCTTCAGTTGCTTGCTACTTTCATTCGGCGGTGAGAGTGGTGCAGTGACGCTATCTATCTTCTATCGATTAGATTTATGATTCGAAAATTATAAAAGTAGGGTAGACATGTGGATATTATCCGACTGAACAAAACTTGCATTTATCTAACAGGTTCGTTTTCCACTGACCTTATTTCGAGCTATTTTCCTAAATCCTATGGAGAAATCCCATTGCGTTTTTTTCGAGGGAAACCGAGCACAGCTTACTTCCGGATTTTAGGATGCGTCACTGCAACACTAAGTTGATGCGATTTGATTGGATTGTGAGGCAAGGGCATGGCCCTGACCAATCACAGGTTGGCAGGGGCATCACGTGAGCCTCATCTGATTGGTCAATCCCTCCATTTTTTTTCACCAAGGGAAGCCAGTTTCGTCTGGCCTCCTCTTGCAACATTGAGTGCAATCTACTGTTTCACCATAACATCTAGAGGGGCGCTGTTTGTTTCACTCTTTGTAAAATACTGAGAGACGGGCCGGCAGCAACACACAGCAAAGGAGAATTATCGAAACAAAACAAAGTGTTTTTATTTAAATTATAACTACAATCCGAAAAAACAGGGGATGCCTGGCTTCCCTTGGCCTCCGGGAGAAAACGCCACTGCTGTTTTATAGGTCTATTCTCATCCACCATCTTTGTTTGTGACGTAAATAGTGTAAGAGTCATGTTTCTGAATCGGACACTCTGAGTGGATGCAGTCACAGCCAATCGGAGTCTGATTCAGAGTCAGTTCCGTTGTTTTGTGTACTGAAAACGAGAGCCGGTATAATTCCAAGTGCGAAAAAACAAAATAAAAGTTGGAATACGTTCTTTTAGTGTTTTGAAAGTAAACTGAGGTATGGCAAGGAAGTTTACTACAGCTGAGGCTTTGGAGCAAATTTTTCAAGTGGACGATGTTGACGAAAATTCAGATGAATCTGCTCAGCATGCATGCCATGTGTGATTGTGGACTGGAACTACACATGATGAGATTTCAGTATTCTGACACAGAACAATTTTAGAAGCAATGTATTTCTATTGGTAGTATGTTTCGTGCCTGCACCAAATATTAAGAAATTAGAAGGAAAAAAAGATGACAACAAATACAGATTTCAGTATTCTGAGGCTCTGAGCCCCATTTATTTTCCTCGTGGACGGCAAAAAAAACTCCGACATTATACAATTTAAAATAAAAGGGTTAAGGTAAGATATTGAGTAAGATAATGTTTTTATGAACCACACAGCTTCTGGTATTCCAAGACCCGACCAGACAAAAATACGTGGTGCAGGCACGAAACACACTACCAATAGAAATACATCGCTTTTAAAATCGTTCTGTGTGACATGAAAAAAGGAGAAAATCGTGTTGGTGAACACGAATCAATAGATTCAATTAATTTCGTGACTATAACACGAAATGCCGTGAGACTGGGTTAATATATCATGTGTAGTCTTGACAAAAAAAATGACAATTCCGCCCATGGACACTGCCCAAAAGAATGGGCATAACTAATGAACAGAAGAAGTTAGAATCTTCTAATCAGTTCTGATACAATGATAATACATATATATATATATATATATATATATATATATATATATATATATACATGTACATGTACATATACATATACATATATCATTAGCTGAGGTTGTGCTGATTTCTGGGATGTGTAACACTTGATACTGTAAATAGATGACAATATATAAGGCAAAACACAAAAATATACAAAAACGGAAATGTCCAAATATATTGGGGTGGATATTTTTACAAAATAAAGATCACACTGTGTGTGTGTGTGTGTGTGTGTGTGTGTGTGTGTGTGTGTGTGTGTGTGTGTGTGTGTGGTGTGTGTGTGTGTGTGTGTGTGTGTGTGTGTGTGTTTGTGTGTGTGTGTGTGTGTGTGTGTGTGTGTGTGTGTGTGTGTGTGTGTGTGTGTGTGTGTGTGTGTGTGTGTGTGTGTGTGTGTGTGTGTGTGTGTCAGACCTGCGCACTCAGCTGACAGACCAGATCAAGATTTTGGACTCTCAGGTGGATGTGAAACAGCAGCAGCTCTCAGACCTCTCAGAGTTTCTGCGGCGCCGAGGCGACATCGAGACTGAATACGCTCGCGCCCTCGACAAACTCACTGAGCGATACACACACAAGACTAAGAAGTAAGCATTCAGATCAGAAAACCTTTATTAGTCTCACAGAGGGGACATTTACGTTGTTACAGCAGAAATAGAGCCAAAGACAGCTTAATGTTATGTAGAAATTTCAGACATTATGTACGAGAGCTAAATCATGACGTCAAGTGTAAGATACATTTTCATTTTTATTTATACGATTTTTCTCCCTGAGGTTTGGTCCCCCCCTAGAACCGCCCATGTGCATTAGGCTTCCCTAAGTATAAGATAAGATAAGATGGAACTTTATTTATCCCCTTGGGGAAATTCGGGCGTTTATAGAAGCAACATTGTCAGACTGAAAAATAGGATTCACACAAGGTAAAAATAAAGTTAAAATAAAATACAAATTAAAATAATAATACAGCAAAAATAAAGTGATAAAGTAACTATTGAATGAAGATAGCACAGTCAGAAGTTGAGCATTTGTATGAACATGTTAAATATATTTACATAAGTGTGGTTAAGTGTACATGTAAGGTGAAGTGTTTCATGAGTCTGTCACTGAGCATGGATGTGTGTTTTCTTCAGGAAGGAGCAGTGGGGTCAGTCTGTGTGTCAGGTCTGGTCTGTTCTGCTGACTCAGACTCGGTTGGAGAGCCGGGAACATGCAGTGCTGGGTGACACCTGCTGCAACACACTCACACAGACACTGGCCCACAGTACGGAGGACACACACCGCCTGCACAAACGGGTGAGAAGACCTTCGATGTTAGGTCACACACACACAGGAACACACACAATAGACATCCAAGACCTAGTTGTCATTCTTCTTATCTATTGTAACATTTAATGTATCATATTCAGTTCTTAATAAGGAGTTGTGGCAGTTAGTAAGTAAGTGAATAAGTCTTTTAAATGATTGCTTAGATGTCAAATTAGGTTGGTGTAATACAAGCTTAAGAGATTTCAATGTTTTGTTCTTATCCAACTCAAGGATTTTGAAACATTTACTTTTCATTTCATTGTCAGTTGCTAACGAGTGGCTAAATAACACTACAGAGTTCAAAGAAGTTAAATGTAATCAAATGTAAAATGTAAGGCAGGGAAATTACTCAGCGGTGGTGGTCAAGTGACTGTTGTAGTTCATTTATAGCCTAGTGTTAGCTTTTGAGCTCTGGCGATTGTAGTTACACTTGATTAATTATAAAGGTTGGTTGCAGTCAAATTGTAAAAAAAACAGCCGTTATGTCTTTTCCTAACCACTTTTCCTTAAACTCTGTGTGAAACGTCACAGGATTGAGGAAAATGTCATCAGGACTTAAGAAAATAGAACTGCTTTGCTAAGAGAATATGACTGCACTTACACTTGGAGACGTAATTATGATGCAAATTAACACCTAACTCAGTAAACACCTTTCTTTCTTCATTTGACAGTAATTACTGTTTATCCACTTTTTGGTTTAACATAGTGTTGAAAGTTCAAAACATAATATTTTGGCAAGTTACGGCATAAATGTGCATCTCAACTTACAGTTATCCACGTTTGTCTGTCACAATCAGCCGTTTCCGAACGCCTGGATATTGTGTCGAGTTACATTTTGCCACCGCAAATATTGTGAGACAGCCTTTCATTAAAGTGTATCCTGAGTTAAAGGAGATTTTAAAGGGAGCAATTAGAGAATTCAAACAGTTCTTATCATGGCTGCCCGTCAAGTCTACTACACTCCATTAGTAACCTTTGAGAGCGAATTGACCACTCGAACGTGAGGTTTATCTTTCTGAACAAAGCGTAGGCCTATATAACATAAACCTTATTTTTCCACAAAGAGTATTTTCTGCAATATTGCTGCAATATCTTTTTATCGAGGGGATCAGACCGGGGTATATTTCGTCTTTCATCGCTCTATTACCAATAGACACATATTTTCACAACTTGTGTTGTTGATTTGTTTGTGACCCGTATTTCATGTCATACTGTATCTCCCCACAGCCTCTACCAGTTCACACCGTCATCTGTCAGATTAAGGTGTATGTGTGGAAAAAAATCCATAAAACAAATGTATGCAAAAACCAACAAGGATGTAAGAAATTGAGATTTATTTCAATTAATATATTACCAACATGATTTCAGTAGCCTACTGCTAGACACATTTTGACATAGCACACTCAATAAGCTGTACACATAATGGAGACAATGAAAGTCTTTATAAATAATAATAATTCACTTTTTTTACAGTTAATGTTATTAATGTTTTCATCAAATTGCGAGAAAATCAAGTATATTGATATTGACTAAGTGCCTCTTTTAAGAAGGCGGCACATGATTAAAAGAGACACATTAAACTACCAATTTGTCCACTAAAATTGCCAACTTTAACAAACTGGACGAGCATTGGACGTTTATCAGGAACAAGTTTTGAAAATGTCTGATGAAAACCATTTCATGTGTGCCTTCCTCTATGGTATATTACATTAGCCGCTTTCACACCAAGTACTTTGCCGTACTTAGTACCCCCATGGGACTAAGCATTCACACCGGAATAAGTTCCCCGAGGAACTTCTTCTTCTTCTTCTTCTTCTTCTTCTTCTTCTTCTTCTTCTTCTTCTTCTCTTCTTCTTCTTCTTCTTCTTCTTCTTCTTCTTCTTCTTCTTCTTCTTCTTCTTCTTCTTCTTCTTCTTCTTCTTCTTCTTCTTCTTCTTCTTCTTCTTCTTCTTCTTCTTCTTCTTCTTCTTCTTCTTCTTCTTCTTCTTCTTCTTCTTCTTCTTCTTCTTCTTCTTCTTCTTCGGGTTTACTGGCAGGCCGCAAACCACTTCACAGCGTATACTGCCACCCGAAGTCCCAGGCCAGAAGACCCCGGAGTTGGGGAAGGCTTCTACTGAAGCCTTCCGAGTAAATCGCCAGAACACCGACACCTCCTCATCTCCACCGCTTCCATGTTTTTTTTTGTGTTGCCATAAGTTATTCTGAGTTGGTGAGCGGGGCTAATGCTAATGCTAATAATGCTAATGCCAGCAAATGCAATGGCGGCTTCACAAAACTTTTCAGAGTTTTACGGGCCGTGGTCAAGCCCCCAGGAAGTGCGCCGGACTCAGATGAAAATATTCGTGCTGGCCAAACGGCGGTACTACACTTCCGTTTGGTTGCCAGGCCCGGAAACACTTTTTCCCATTGACTTACATTGGGAAAGAGTGGTCTGTAAATCGTTGGATAATTTTTTTTAAACTAAATAAACTACCCAGTATGAACACTTGTATAGCCCTTATTAAAAACATTCGTTCCTCAAGTTGTAATAATGTGCTAATAACGTTATTCTGAGAGTTATTTCCCTCTGCATTATGAACGCGCATCTAACACGGGACCGCGCCGCCCGGCACGTTCATGTTACGTGTCCTGACCAATCAGAGCACACTGTGCTCACAGGGAGGGTCGGGGCTGGAGCTATTGGAGCTACAACGGGCCGTTAAAGTGAAATTCAGTGAATACACGTAGTTTACAGAGATGCTGTATGAGAAACCAATGTGAGTTGCGTTTATCTTTACCCATGGATGCACAATAAGAACGGATCCATATCGTCTTACTGCCATCCCACGGAGCTGTAATAATGGATATATTGCACATGTTTGCTGTAATTCATTATCATACTACATGGGCTGTATGATTAAATCTTGAACCTAAATGTTGTATTAAATAAAGTTAATATTACTTATAATTATAAGTATATATATACAGTGCAATCATTCTTTCATGCTAAATGAAGCTCTGTTGCTTGGATATCACTAGATCCTGTTACAGCGTAATATAATTACATAACGATTGATGTTACATTAGCATAATGACTAGCTAGCCGCTAGCTGCTAACTGCCGCCTCGTTAATATCAAATCCATCATAATAACAAATCATTACCATGCTGTCATGAACGTGCGGTGCTGTTAAGTGTACGCAAATTGGCGTGCTTGATGTGAACGAGCATTTTGGTTAAAGTTGCGCATGCGCTATGAGCGCACATACGGGTACTTCTCAGGCATGCCGGGTAATCTGTGACGTTTCGCTCTCTCAAAAGTTGGGCCATTTTATCATCATGCGCCAATGAGCAACTCTCATAGGAATGAATGAGGCCCCGCCTCCCACCTGTATTGAGTTCTTATTATACATCCATGGCCGTGGTTTCCAATCCGCCCAGCCAATCGAAATTGGTACTTTTTTCTCCCCAGGATAGTACCACCTCTCTAGCAGGCACTACAAATGGGGGTAAAAGTTCTCGGAACTAAGTACTCTTTTTGGTGTGAACGCAAAATTCCAGGCACTAACGGGAAAAGTACGGTGAAAAGTACTCTGGTGTGTGAATGCGCTTATTGCATTCATTTTTGTATTGAGTATGTAAGTCGCTTTGGATAAAAGCATCTAACAAGTAACATGTAATGTAATGTAATATAGGCACTTGACAAACAATCTACCCTTGTGTGTTGCAGAGCAAAGAAGTTGGTATCCAGATGCAGGATGAGCTGCTGAAGGTCACCACTGAAATGCAGATGGTGAGCATTTTACACGGTGGTCTTTGCATCTAATAATGCAAAATAATATAACAATGCACTGACGTGAAGTTTATATTTTGTGTGCTAATGAAGGCTCTGAAGACGTACAACCAGTACCACACAGACTGCCTGATAGCTGAGGGGAAACTGAAGGAAGCCGAGCGGTTGGAGGAGAGACACACTGGAAAATCAGCTGAGCTCGGCCTCGGCCAATCAGGAGGCCAGAGGCGGAGCTCTGTCAAGAAAATGGAGAGATTGATGGAGAAAGTGAGTGTGGGTGTTTCTCAATGTTGAGGACGCTTGCTTGGTAGCACATGTCTTCCGAGTCACTTGCTTCAGAAGCGAGGCAAGAATCCTTCCTAGCCTCGTAAAACAAATAATTGTCGAACAGGCTAACAAGTGTGCAGGTGTGCGTCATATGAGAGGCCCCGCCTTACATTTTCCGCCACAGATTTGGGGAAATTGGTCCGTGCGCAAAGCATTGTGGGGATTTTAAGACCGCGGAGTCTACACATGTGCAGCCTCGGAATTTCTCCAAACGAAATACGCTGGGCTCGGTAGAATTCCAAGTATGCTGGACATTGGAACAGTCCTTCGGCGGCACTCTGACGTAGTATGCTTGAAATAGTGGCTCTGGAGCAGCTTTACTCGACATTGAGAAACACCCCCTGGCCGTTTCTCAATCGCGAGGATGCTTGCTTGGTAGCACATGTCTTCCGAGTCACTTCCTTCAAGCTAGGCAAGAATCCTTCCTGGCAATCGGAAAACGAAGAGTGGAACAGGCTAACAAGTGTGCAGGTGTGCGTCATATGAGAGGCCCCGCCTTACATTTTCCGCAACAGATTTGGTGAAATTGGTCCGTGCGCAAAGCATTGTGGGGATTTGAAGGACGCGAAGTCTACCCATGTGCAGCCTCAAAATTACCCCCAAACCAAGGACGCTGCCTCGTGGGATTCCAAGTATGCTGGAGATTGGAACAGTCCTTCGGTGGCACTCGATGACGTAGTATCCTTGAAATATTTCCTCGCGATTGAGAAACGGCCCCTGTGTCAGCGATGTGTGTGAGAGACAAGAAGTCTAGAATCATTTCCTGTTCCTGTTGTTTTGTCTCAGTGGGTTTGAGACTATAAACTTTAAATTCTGTAATCCTTGAAGCATATGTTTTATATGAGTGAGCAAATCATGGTGATGAGCACCTATATTGTCTTTTTATCAACACATCATTTTGTGTTCTTATCTTCTGTGTGTGTGTGTGTGTGTGTGTGTGTGTGTGTGTGTGTGTGTGTGTGTGTGTGTGTGTGTGTGTGTGTGTGTGTGTGTGTGTGTGTGTGTGTGTGTGTGGTGTGTGTGTGTGTGTGTGTGTGTGTGTGTGTGTGTGTGTGTGTGTGTGTGTGTGTGTGTGTGTGTGTGTGTGTGTGTGTGTGTGTGTGTGTGTGTGTGCAGAGGCATGGCAGAGTGCAGGAGAATCAGCTGAAGTGTACCAAGGCTCGTAATGACTACCTGCTGAATCTGGCAGCATCCAATGCAGCCATGAACAAGTACTACCTGCAGGACATCAGCACTCTCATCGACGTAAGGAACATATGATACAAAATGGGAATTATGGAGCCAGGGGTGGGGAACTACATTTATAGAAAAAAATCTGAGATTCTAAGAGTTAAGTTGTACAAAAGATAAAACATTGGAGAGAAAATCTGATAAGTAGTGTATTTTTCTTGTCAAGGAACCAAAAGGACTCCACTTTGCCAGATTGGATAAATCTTATCACACCACAGATGCTGCCACTATTATGCCGGCAGTAGATCATAATTAAATTACAATACACCATTGGATTTAACACAAAGGAGATATTTCATGCATTTATTTTCTCTTACATGTACAACTCTAATATCAGAAATATACATAAATCTGTTTTTTTCCCCTATCTTTGTGAATCTCCATCTTGTTATTATCTGAAAAAGCAGAGATATCATGTGGAGTAGTTTGGATGCATTATTGCCTGTTCAACACATCTTTCTCTCCCTCCTCCCTTCCATACCATTTCCTCCTCCCTTTCCTCCTCCTAAATGCCCCCATACATCATTTCCTCCCACCCTTAGTGCTGTGATTTGGGTTTCCACCTGTCCGTGGAGAGGGTGATGAAGTGCTACCTGGCCAGTAGGTGGCGCATCCAGAAGACGGAGGAAACGGGGCTGAAGCAGCTGGAGGCCGCCGTGACGTCCCTGGACCAGGGTGGAGACAGAGATGGGTTGCTACAGCAACACGACTCTGCCTTCTGCCTTCCATTCAAATTCAACTACCATCCACATGAGGGAGACCAGGTGAGGAGGGGGAATCACTGCAGCGATCAGAGGGGGGCTTTACTCAGGACCAATGGGGAACACTGGAATTAGTGCACCCTGGTTTTCTGTTGTATACATCATAATAAATATATACCATGTTAAAATCAAATGAGTCATATGCAGTAAATGTGGTAAAGAAAATGCAAGTGAGAAAAAAATCACGTAAATATTTAAAAATGAATTAAAATCATTTATATTTAAAAAATATATAAATAAATGTTAAACAAATATTTAAATGTTTTGTGATTATTTTTTATATATATTTTTTTGTTTACTTCTTTATTATTTCATATAGTCCTCTTCATAATTACTCCTTTATTTTCTTAATTTGAAACAGATTATTTATTTTTTTATGGCACTATTATGACTACTCGTATTTGTTTTTAAAGTCAACCTGAAATAAAAGCATAACAGAGTTTTAAAAAAACAATATACCGGTGGTAAAAGCTTGACAATGCTTCGTAATGTTTTTACATTTGATCTCGTTTGTGTATTTCAGGTGTGCGAGGTCAGTGCGGAGAGCCAGGTGAGGTACGAGCTAGAGACCAGGTTCCAGCAGCTTCAATCTCGACTCGCTGCTGTTACCTTGGAAACAGAGGAGGTAAGCTAATAACTCACACCGCCTGTTTCTTTAATGATCTGTTCAGGCACTGTCAATCAGTCACTATAGGAAGTAAGTGAATGACAATATGCAATTTAAAGAAATGAAATTTAAAGGGACACTCCCCCCTAAAATAAATATTATTCTATTATCTACACTTATTTTTATCTTCTGGTTTTAGTGTGAGTTGCTGGGTTTTGAAAACTCAACATTAATGTCTCTTTCAAGAAATCATGACCTGATTACTTAAGATAATTAACAGACCTTGTTGTGAGCAGTTTCGTGTTGGAACTACTTTCTTTCAACTACATCCAGCAAATCATATGTGAAGGAAGTGTGCATCTCCTCAGCTAGCTATATAAGAACAAAATAAGAGGACGTCATTAATGTTTACATCTCGTTACAATTGTTTTGCTTATTAGTCGATGCTAACGTCTTTCTGTTCCTTGACTTTGGAGTATTGGAGTTAGCTGTCCCTCTAAATTAATAATTGTTTTGACGTAATTTCAAGGAAACCGAAGTAATCTTAAAGAACTGAATTAACCAATCAATCTTTGTTTCCCTTTCTCAGGTTAGTAAAACACTTAAAGCCACCCTCACAGCCCTACTGGACAACATGTGTGAGAGCGACTGTAACCCCTCCCCCGATGTGCTCAGCACCCTAACACACGAGCCCCCTGGAGGAAACACCGCCCAAAAGCTGACCATTGCCAAGCGTCGAGCCAATCAGCAGGAGACAGAGACCTACTATTTTACAGTGAGTGAGCTAGAGGTGGACATATTGCTATTACGGTACTTTTAAAGGTGAAGTTATTATACAGACTGATAATATAAACGCACAATTATTTTCACGATACCACACCACACCAAAATATAATTTTCACTGCTGATAATTATATTCTGTAAGATCGCACATATTTTACCTTTATGCTTACTGTGAATGTTATGATGGCTACATGAATTTCAACAGACTTTCTTTTTACTTTTTGTCTTAGAAAGTGAAGGACTTCCTCATCAGCAGTTCTCTTACCTTCAAACTCCAAGCCAAACATGACCTTCTACATGATGCCATACAGAAAGGTACTCTTTCGCTACAGTAAGAGATAATGGGAAGGCAATTTCCTTAAGCCACAGCCTAATGTCTATCAACACATATCAAGGTTCATTCCAAAGAGTTGTGTTGGCTAGTTAAAGGCACATTTCTACAAATATCTGTTTCATTTTATTGAAGTTAATCAGAGATTGAAATAGGGGGTTTCCCTTTCCTGTAATGTGTTATATAGGTTTGTGTGCATGTAAATGTTCTGCAAAGGCTGAAATCCCAAAGTTACCTCCAGAAGGAGTTTCTCTCCCCCCCCCCCTTTCCTGCTTAAAACGCCTCCATTGGACTCCTTTGTTTACTTCCGTGACTTAGTGACATCACTATGTAAGACCCGTTTTTTAATTGGCTAGCGCTTCAACACAGTATATGTGATAGGCCAAGGGCCGGGACATCTCCGACATATCTCTATGCAGTTAACTAATCACAACAGAGCTGGCCAGCTAACCAATCAGAACAGTCTAGGCTCACAGTAGAAGCAAAAATGACAAATATGAACCTGAAAATGAGCAGAATATTTCCTTTTTATTTTATGCTAGTAGCTTCAAATGAAACCTTGACCCACTACCTTGATTTTTCTTCATTTCTAAAATTGAAGGCTTTACAGCAAACCAACGCTAACTCAAGTGAGATCACTTGAGGGCCATTTAACAGACTTTGTGCAAAATAAAAACTACACCTTAATCTTTAACTTGTTTTCTGTCCTTTTTTTCCAGCGGAGGCTGTTGACAGTGACCCTTCCAGGTAAACAGTGTATTTACACTACTAATATTAAAGAGAGTATGACTGAGAGAGGCACAGAGACACGGAGAGAACACAGAGGACAAGGAGCAGAGGAGAGATGAACGGAATTTGAACTAAAATACAATTTTGTGCAATTTTCTATTATGTATATAAATATCTTTTTTAAGGGGGGAATGTGAAGTATATGTTAACGGCTAATAGTAATGCGGGACATAATGATATCTTGAGTATTAACATCCACATGGCATCATTATATTTCCCAGAACGCAATGTGCTCGGTCTGTGCGTGTTCGGAAGTCCAGGCCTGTTTCCCAATTCTGCCACACACTCTTCACCACAGACATAGTCACCTACATACAGGTAACACACACATACACACACACACATGCAAATAAGAAAAAACATCCCTTTGAAATACACCCCCTGTTTTACTTCGTTTATTTGCTTGCTGCACTGCGATGTACTGCTGTTCAACCCTCCAAAGGGAACCATTTGGAAAATCCTGTCACACTGAAGCAGAAGAATTGGCGGAGCACATGCACACACTAACATTCCATCCCCCCAGTGTACTCACAGCTGCCTTCATGTGTATGGTGATGCTTATAGTTTATTGCTGGCTTTTCTCTCCTTTCAATCCTCCCTTTTATCTCTTCCTCTTGTGAAAGGGATTAAAATGCACTGGCCTCTTTGTTGCCTCCTCTCTCGGCTCCTCTTTTCAGAGTGCGTGTGCTTATGTGCGCCTCTTCCCACTGCTTCTAAATCTTTATTCCCTTTATTTTCTACTCTGCCTTTTTCCTAATCTGTGCTTTTTTCTGTCTCCTCTTGACTGTGCTTGGCATGGTGCAGAAGAAGAAGGAGAATGTCTCGGACTCAGGTACTAAACCCCATCTGTGACTGCTTCTGTTAAAAAAGGCCGTTGGGCTTTTTTCCTGCAGTGACCAGGGCAGCTAGCTAGTCTCTTGCCACCCACTTTCAATGTTATCAGTAAGAACATCTTTTTTGGTGGTAAGGCCTTAAACATCCTCCTTATAGCTAGATAGGTTGTCATCATCCGTTGGTGAGCTGATCACTCTAGGGAGGTTCAATACTATTTAGCCATCATGAATCCAAAGTTTTGTGGTCTCCGAAAAATATAAAGAGAACAATTCCAAACTTATTTCATGGTGTTTCCGATGGTAAACCAAAGACAAATGTGGGGTTTTTGGCCACAGTTGACAATAATTTGACAGGACCTATTTTTTGTGGATTGATATGACTGCACTTACTCCTTTAATCAGAGCGTCCTCGCCAGTAGTGTGCTATTAAGCCATAGGAGTCCGCTTAATGTCCAAGTTGGCCAACGAGAGTCGAGCATTATAAAGCCTTGATGTAATGTTAAGATTCGACCTGTGTCAGTAGTAGTTATGACGGGAATACAGTAGGAAGTCATGTGATGAAGCATCCGTGCTAAACCAGGTAAACCTGTTGGTATTTTCAACTAGCAAACAATAGTCAACTTATATACCATACATTACGTACTTGAATTGTGTATGTTACCTAACGTATCAAGCATATTTGAACTCAGACCATAGTCTTTGTAAAAGCAAAGCTATGGGTTTAAAATGTAAACAGTTTCGAACAGTGTAAGGGTAGTTTGCCCCGTCTGAATTATTACGATTTTGGTGATAACAATAATAACAGCCCTTTATTGGGCTGATACCAGCCGGAATGGGTGCTCTGTCCAAAGGTCATAACATTGGATCCAGCGAGAAATTATTCGTAAAACAACAACTTTTATTTTTTTCGTTTTGTGGGTGAGGGACCTATATCAAAGAGTTCTTTGTTTTTAACATCAACAATTAAGTAATAGTCGCCTTGAAAGTTTAATGGAAAAAAACATTTCTATTTTGTTCAGTTCAGTAGTAATATACACAACATTTTGAAAAATGTGAAAGCCCAAACTTGGTTCAGTGTCTTGAGCTCATGACCTTAGTACTTAAAAGTTACGCCCCTGGCAGCGACATACAATGACACAACTCACTTAGTTTCATTCCTTAGCTGTGTAACTCTCTTCCTCTGTTAACTCACTGTTTCCCTTGCACTGCATCTTCCTTTCTCCCTGGTATGGCTCATGTCATCCTTGTCCCCTCTTTCTTTGTATCCAAATCCCCATTTTCTCTCATCTCTGTGTTTCTGCCTCTCTCTCTTCTCCAGAGCTCGGGGCAGCAGATCCCTGTGGTGGTTGAGAGCTGTATTCGTTTCATAAACCTTCACGGTGAGTCACTTTCTATGGAACACCAATGAGCCATGCTGAGAGAGATTTGGACACTGGGGATGAGAAGATGGAAGTACTTCGTGTGTGTGTGTGTGTGTGTGTGTGTGTGTGTGTGTGTGTGTGTGTGTGTGTGTGTGTGTGTGTGTGTGTGTGTGTGTGTGTGTGTGTGTGTGTGTGTGTATTATCCTGTATGGAGCATCATGCATCTATGAACACATTATATAATATAACGTGTGTGTGTCTGTGTCTCAGGCCTCCACCATGAAGGGATATTCAGAGTTCCTGGGTCACAGAGGGAAGTTAACCACATCAGAGATGCGTTTGAAAGAGGTATGAGATTTGGAAATGTAGTATCTTTGCGGGATGAAATATATTCTGTCCGTCCCATAGGCAGCACATGTCCGTCCATCACATTTTTGTGAATGCAAATTCTAATGAATGACTTGAGGTTATTTCTTCGCGTTTAGCATAAAGGTCCACTTGGATGGTGGTCAAAGGTCAAGGTCACTGTGAATTCATAACACTTTTTTTTGGCCGTAACTCAAATAATTCATGTATTAGTAAAGTCAAAACAGCAGTGTTTCAACAAAATAGGTATAAATGACAAACTGCCTTCAAGAGTTACATTCTTAAAGAAAATGTATTCAGACTGAATACTTCATATTCTAATCCACTTCTAACTTTTTTATTGAAATTAATGTATCCAACAGTAGGCTATACCTTGGTAATAAAAAAAAAGCCCAAACTAGTATCAAGTCATCAAAACATCAGTAATTCACCCAATTAGGTTTCAAAAAGGTTTAAAATGACAAACTGCCTTTCATAATACACGTTTCCGGCCATATCTCAGGAATTCATGCTGATTATGACAATAGTTCGCAGAAATGACTCATAGTTAATCGGCAACTTGATATTTTGGCAGAGGCATAGAGCCGCAAGCAATAATTATAGTTTTAATTTTGAATTTAAAACAGTCTTTGTAGATCTAACCAAAACATAAATGGTGCAACTTTATAGTTTTCACAGAAAGCGATACGTTATTTATATCCTTAAATCATTAATAACAGATGGAACATTTGTATCGAAAATTGTGAAAAATACTGTTTCCGTATGATGTTTATTTTTAGGATGTGTACGGCAAAAATGATAATCCTGTATAAGTGTGCTCCACAACGTTTTGCTGTAACCTTCCTGCTTTCCTTAACGTTACGTTTTTGCATCTCCCCCGCCGTAGGAGAGGATCCTCTGTCGGACAGTGAGTGTGACCTGGACTCAGTTGCTGGTGTGTTGAAGCTTTACTTCAGAAACCTTGAGCCTCCTCTCTTCCCGTACGACAGCTACCCTCAGCTGCTGGAGTGTGTCCGTAAGTCCCCTATATATAAACTCTAATGTTTATTTAGTTCATTTATGCCCTTTTACTAGCATCTATTGAGAAAGTGTGCAAACCTCATCATTAATGAGTCATGAATGTGCAAATATATTGTTCAAATATATCAATTTGAGGACACCTTTTTGTCTGAGGTAAGAATTTTAAAATAAGACTTCAATCTGTCAGATCTTGCTATGACACATGTAATGTGTTTAAAGAATGTAAATGATGGCCTCTAATATTGCACTTAATATGGTAGCTTATGGAAGTAATACAAAAATAACAAATTATAACAAAATAAATGAAAGGTAAACAAAACATTTATGATATCAAAAATAAGTTCTAATGAAATGATAATAGAAAAGTATAACAAAATATTGCAAGAAAACATATATTACGGATAAGTATTTCAATTTTTCACTTATGCATCCAACTTTGTCACATGTAAAACACGGATTGGAAACAGTAGCAAACTTTGTGTGATATATAAGAGTACATGCATGAATAGATTTGTTTTAACTAGGAAAAAGTGACATGAAAGATTTCAATGTTTTCTACACTTTCCACCAATTGGATTTCTTAGGACTTTAGATAAAAAACATTTGAGACATAAACCGTTGGAAGTTTATGTTGCAGCGATTCATTTGATTGAGCTTTTTGCAGCGTAGTAGCATTACACAGTGGTTGCCACTTTGCTGATGCTCCCCTCACAAAGTATGACCACTTTCTGTTACGTATACTGTTGATTCCAGGCAGTGCATCCTCCACTCTTTCTGCTGGTGCATGTTGATGCTGCTGCTGCTGTGATCTCTCTCATCGTCTCCTTGTTATTCCTGTAGGCCAAATTGTGTTTGCCAAACATTTTGCACAGCTTATCAGGGTCGTGAACCCGCCTACAGGTTGTTTACTTCCCTTAAACACTCGGATCTTCTGTAAGTGGCGTACTCAATCGACCTAGCCACCGCACCTCAGCAGTTTAAGTACTAGTCACAACATTTCATCAAGTTTGAATTCTGAGTCATTTATGCATTTATGCAGTTCCTAACTGCTGCAGACATGGGGAACTGAAACCACAAACTATCAAAACTTGTCATATTAGTTTAATTCTTTCCTCTCTCTTGTCTGTCATGATCAGAAATCGAAGGGGTCACGGAGAGAGCGACCCAGATTAAAGTGATTATCTCCACGTTCCCACGACCTCTCCTCGTCGTGATGCGCTACCTTTTCGCTTTCCTCAATCAGTAAGCTCATGTAACCCAGTGTGCAATATTCTATCACTTCTATTACTCTAAAACTTCATAATAAGAAGTACTTCATTCATAATAAGTGCATGTGTGTTCCCAGTGTGTCTCAGTACAGCGATGAGAACATGATGCAGCCCTATAACCTGGCCGTGTGTTTCGGGCCGAGCCTGCTGAGGGGATTGGATTCTGATGATGCTGTTGCTAGGCAGCCACAGATCAATGATCTCGTCAAAACCATGATCCTCGAACATGACATCATCTATTCCGGCCAATCAGAACTGCCGGGCCCCGTCTACGAGAAGCACATGACTCTGGAGCAGGAGTACTGGTGAGAGACCAGCAATCACCGGCGATAGTTAGGAGGGAGTCAATATGTAATTGGAGCCCCAAAAATGTTGTTTAAAGCTTAGCATTTTAGCTGTCAAATTAATGCTAATAATATTAGCTAGCTAATGCTATTTTTTTTAAGTATTCATGAATTTCAGCAACTATTGAAACTATTATTTTATAGAGAATACATTTATTTTTAAAGCTTAGCATTTAAGCTTGTAAACTAATTGTATTATTAGCGTATGAATTTAGCATCTCATAGTGGCAAAGGAGAAAAAAAGGGCTTTTTTACCAGGTTTTAAGCTCAAAGGGAAAGTATAAAGCATTGTATTTCCTATTACACCTTGTTTTAACTATCTAACTAGTATTTTATCATTTGTGACCATTTTACTGGCTTGAGAAGAACCTTTTGATGATTCTCAACATTTGGTCACTTTCGGCATTCCGTACAATATGGTTTAATAGGGAACTTATTTAACTTGAACATGTGATTACATTGACTTCCAGTAGGCGTGTTTAAACTTAATATCCTCTCCCCAGCCTCCCCTAGGATCTGTTGCTAATGTTAGAGTTTAAGACTCTGTCTGACTTCCAAGCATGAAGAGCAGCTTGCCCCTTAGCCCCCCTTTCATGGCTCATCCTCTCCGAACTGAATATGATGCCATGCCAAAGGAATTTCTGTGCAACTGGCAATCCTTTGTGTGAAAACAGATTAATACTATTAAGCTGATTGCTTAGTAAAACTGAACAAGAGCCTCGGGCATATCGACAGTGTCCATGACAACCTCTTACACCCTAAAGTCCGCTTTTGGGTAATTGACTAACATGTTCTGTTTTCTGCATGAATCAGTGATATAATATACTTTCTGAGGGTCATTTGTTCAATCTTGCAGCGGTATGAGCATTATGTGAAATAGGATTATAGAAGTGAGGATTGCTGTGGTATTTCAGTTGGTCTGTGTAAAGAGGAACAATGCGTGACCACCGACTTTCCTTTGTCTTTCTGTCTGCAGCGAACCAATCACAGAAGAGGGAGACGGGGAGACCGAGCATCTGCCAAGTGAAGAAGGTGAGGACTTACAGTAAACAGCACACACACACATTTTGGAAACACACACTTTATAAGATTAATAAAAGATATAGAATGTGTGAAAATGAGTCGTAACTGTATATATGTGTACAGAATGGGAGGCAGTGGCGATGTTTGACTACGCAGCAAGATCTCCGGCAGAGCTGTCCTTCAAGCAGGGAGAGCTGATCATCCTGCAGAGCAAGGCCTCCTGTGATTGGTGGAGAGGCGAAGTGGGAGGGGTTAAGGGTCTCATCCCTCACAAGTACATCAGTGTGTTGGATGGGTGAGTGACATTTCCACATCAGAACCATTCAGGCAACAACTCCATCCATAGCCAGAACGATGTTCTTTATTATGACAGGAGTGGATATTGGAAGGGATCCTGTAGGCATCGTTCTCAGTTTGAGACATTTATTTTAGTCTTAGCGCCAATTAGTGTTGCACGGTGTACCGATACTTGAAAGGTACCACGATACCCTGCCGTTAAAAACGATACGATTCCTCCGTTTCATTAGTATCGGTACTTTAAGAATGACGGGGAAAAGTACTCCGGTGAGAAAGCACCGTTTTAAGAGCCGTGTGTGTTCAGCGCTCTGCTTCCACTCCCTGCACTGCAGCCGTGCCTACAGTCCCTCCCCTCTCAAGCACGCTCTAAATCCCTCCCCTCTCTCGTGCACGCGCTAGCTGCCAGAGCATGTGAGAAAGCGAGAAGCATGGCTGCAAGTGGGAGTGCAACTGCCGCTGCGCCTCGGCTTGTTGACAAAAAAGTTGTTTGAGATTATGCTTAACGAATTCTTGTCATTTATTTTATTTATTGTTCTCATTGTTTAAAAGTTTGTGTTATGGTTCTGGTGTGAAATAAAGCACAATAATTACATTTAAGACTGTTTCTTTTTTTTTAAGAAAAGTATCGAAAAAGAATCGGAATCGCAATTCTTGACTTGGTATCGGTATCGAAACCAAAATGTTGGTATCGTGACAACACTAGCGCCAATAATGTATTGTAGAAGCCTCCAGGACTACAGTCAGTTGAGTTTATCAGGCACTGTATAAAGTATGGAAGCCCTAAGAGGCCAGTGAGAAAAATCTAAATCTGTTGAACCATAAAACTGATAAAGATGTTTTCTCTAATGTGAACAGGTGGAAAAACACACAACAGGATATTCTTTCTACGTTTCTTTAGGATATGTTTCTGCTGTTTAAACAGGACAGAATGTTACATAACTCACACAATATATGGACCTTTGGTTTAGAGTGCATGGAGGCACAACAACTTATCTTGAGGAAAACACAATTGAGCATTACAAAACAATGATCCTGACAACTATACAATTCCCATGCCAAAAGCTTTTTTACAAGCAGTTACACAGATTAATGTTTTGGTAAAGAACCATTTAAAAGATTATCCTTGCAAAAGCTTTTATATCAGAGAAATATACATAGAAAATGGATCACCAGAATTTCATTTTTACAAACTTGTCTCTAAGGGCTTCCGTATAATGCCGCTACATTTACGTTGAATGAAAGTCCTAAACCTCAGACCCCATGACACACACACAAAGGGTTTCAAATTGTTTTGGAACCGCTGGATAAACACTCACATTTTATTTTCTTCAATTGTGTGTATTGGTGCTTAAACTGCAGATCCAGTTACAATTACAGTAGTTTTATAGAGAATGTGCAGTTTGTGTAAACATTTGAAATAAATCCTGCTTCTGCCGCCTCCCACACTTTTTTGTCACCTTTATTCTTTAAAAAAAGAAGTTGTACTTGTGAAATGTATTCTTAATATATCCTTCTCTTTTCTTCTAATTTCTTAGGTCAGAGCGGAAAAGAGAGGAGGGGGGAGGAGGGGGAGGCAGCACTGGAAACCTGACAGCAGAAGATCTACAGACGGAGAACACAACTCGGTACGCACACACAGATATGTACCGACACGTACTTGAAAGCACTATGCAATGTTAGTTCACACCAAAAAAACACAATAGATGTAGACAGCAAAACGAATGCACACACACACACACACACACACACACACACACACACACACACACACACGATCAAATATACTCACTTTCACATTATTGCACACAGTTACAAACAGGAACAAACTCTCCCACATGAATGCAAATGACACACAGTTACATAAAGTTTCGCTGTCTCGACAGGATGCGGGTTAACAGCGACAGTGCTTCGTTGCCCGGGAGACAGAGAGGAAGTGAGGGGAGCCCCAATCGAAAGCAGCCAACCTCTCCCGCCACACGACACCTGCCAGTGTAAGACTGAAATGACACCTTGTGTGTAACGTATGATGTGTGTACTCTGTGCTGGACTCAACCCTCGAATTCATAGTGATTTAAAGCCTCTTGTATGAAGGGATATGATATGATGTCAAGATATAGGGGATACATATCATGTATATAATATCATTCAGCAATAAGGAAAATGACAGAGAACCATACACAATAATACCATATTTAAAATAACAATGCATCATATCCAAGGAAGCTTAATGCATTCCATGTGCCATGTTATCTATACAAACAAGGCTATTATCTCGTAATTATGAGTATGAAAATGTCATGGGATATCTCAACATTCTTTATTTTATGTGAAAACTTGATTGCCTTTTTCTAAGTTTTAGTCGGGGACAGACAAACAAAGAAACGCACACACAGACATAACCAAACTCATCATTACACATTTATAGGAAAGTTCCCAAGAGTTTGTAATGAGTATTTGAATTGAATTTGGACCATTGCCATGATCTGATATTATATGAAATGGTCTTTATAGTGGTAGAAACATAAATCATGACTGGCTTCAGAGCAAATTTGGATACTTTGGATTGGATATATATTGTGTCCAACCTGTGTTACCTTTTATCTTTTAGGTCTCAGGAGCGCAGACACACTTTGGACACTGTGAGACAGGGCAGCTTCAGACCACCAGATAGACCTCCATTTGTTCAGGCAGACAGACCACCAGTGGACAAGGTTTGTAGACCATCCTGGACTCATACAGCTCATACGTTACACCTGTGCCTATGGTACTTGTTAGGGAATAATTATTCTATGACCAACCCTGACGTCTGTTATACTCCCTTAAGGAAATGGGCTGATTCAGCCATGTGTTGTTGTTCCCATTTCTATGACCGGGCAACCCTAGGTCACAGATGGTTTATTGTTGTGGGTACACTGGGACACTTCCTTCTCGGTGTTTGTGGACTCCAAGGTATGAAATCTTCGAGACCATAGATGTCAGACGCAAGTAACTCAGTGTTCCCAGCTGTTTAGGCTATCTTCTCAAAATATGTTGATTACTCTCTGTGAAACCAGTTAAAAGGTCTAGCAATAGAGAGGCGCTCCAGAATTGATGTGGCAACTCTCCCGTGCAGTCAGACTGTGGCTGCTGTGACTTGTTTTGTGAATTCTCCGGCCGAAGCTCCAAATAAACCATCAGTGTTTGACATCAAAGCTACTGCTCATCCCGTGTCTCCTTCATGAGTCGGTGACTCCCACTGCATTGCTACACAGAAGTTTCCCCCACAGTAATCACTATGAATTCAGTAAGGCAGGTTAGAGCATTGCCAGGAAAGTGGAGCTAGGGTTAGGGTTAGGGTCACGGTTAGAATGAAAAAACAAGGGCATTAGACATCTCATGAAAAGATTTAAAATGTGGTTGATACATTGGAGGGATATAACTTTGGCTCTTTCCATAACAAGTCCATCATTTATTTTAACATTGTTAATGAGTCTTTCTAACAAAGGATCAGTACACTGTTTCTGTTCTGAGATCTTTCCTGTGGTCAACACATAATGTGATTGCACTTTGGTCTTTAAAAGTAAGAGTTTAACAAGTTAGTTTGGCTCTTTTGATTTTCATATTGAAGCTGTTGTTTAAATGTAGCTTAAGCAAATGTATATACTTAAATATTAGTTTGTAGTAGTATGTGGTACTTACTTACTAGTTAATGTATGACTTAGTTGACAGTTAGCCCCCAAAAGGTTTTTAGCCACCTTTAGTTTAGCTAATTTAACTATCGTCAAAGCCACCAGAATCATTGATTAAAAGTGTTATTTGACCTCACAGAACACGGAAGATGGTGGTTTACCTCTACCTCCATGATTTAGTTTTATTGTTAGTCTTAGTCTTATTGTGTGAATCTGAACTAGCACCTTTAAAATATGAAAGTTACACAAACGATAATTTTATAAGATAATGACTATCATTGTGTGAGAAGGGGCATTTTAAATGGATGTACTTGAACGCAGCATCTATATAGCATCTTTCAGTGGGTGGTGTTTTGAGGGATGTTCATTATCTTCCATGTCTCCCTCCTCTGCTGTTTGCTTCTCCTCTTCTGCTCTCTCAGGACATGATCAGCCGTCAGATGAACTCGGTGTTCAAGGAGCTCCTGTCTCGCCAGCCAACCCTGCCGCCGTCAACCCTTCCCCCCACTGCTCCCTCCTCCTCCTCCACCTCCTCCTCCTCCTCCTCCTCTGTTCCTCAAGCTGCACCCACTGCCAAAAAAGTTGGATTCGGCCTCAGAGGAAGGACCCTTTTCAGACCGGTGGACTAAAAGAAAGGAGAGGATGAGTGGAATTGTTGATTTGTTGTTTAACGATGATTATGCTGATGCCGACGATGCATTAAGTGAAGATATTGATTTATTTTTTTGACACATGTATAATATTTGCCATCTCATTGTGCCACTAGTCTCGGTGCCGTGTAACTGTACTGTACTGTGTGTCTGTTTTAAAGCTGGTTTTGGTATTTTTATTTTCTTTGGGTCTGTTTGAGTCCCCCAGGCTTTTGTACCTTTTGGGGAATCAGGGATGTGACATCACCAGACTGACTTTTAAGAGTGGCTGCCATGATACTTTAAAAAATATATTTAGGCTGCCCCTTAGTGGCAGCTCTGATGTTTGCTTCATTTAAAAAAGAAAACTGATCCGGGGCCAGAGTGCCTTCAAATCTTTTACTCTTCACATTTATTTCACTTGAAAAGAACCCCAAGGTGTTCAATATTAATTAAGACGTTATTAAATCAAATCAAGCACACGTTACAAGATGGAAACAAAGATGTGTGAATTACTTGAAGAAATAGTTTAAACTCAACTGCTTATTTTGAGGTGTTTTCTCATCATTCATTTTTATGATAATATCATTTCATTGGATATTATCCATTCAAGTTATGTTTATTTATGTCCAATAGTGTAGTTTTACTTTTCCAGATAACACTTTGATTTCGTGTCAAGTTTTATTTCATGACATTTTTCTTTATGAACGTTTTTATCTATGTCACTTTTCATGACAGGAGTGCATTCACCACCCTCCCACCTTTCAACCAATCGCATGTTCCCTGCTTTTTAAATATCCCATATTGTAAAAAATGTGGGTTTTCATATCTTTTTTTTAATTTTTCAAATAGGTCAGGTGCCACAAAAATACTGTGAAGAGTCAACCCATGGAAGAACGCACACAGCCCGCTTTTAAAAACTGTGCCTTTAAACGAGCTGTCATTCCCTGGCTGCAATTACAATGCAGAGACACAGAAAGCACATGAGACTCGGAAACACTGACCAATCAGAGCAGCCTGGGCTTTTTTAGGGTTAATAAATCAAGCGTATTAGACGGGGGAAATATAAATATATATTTTTGAAAACTTTAGCATGTGAACATGTTCTAGAAGAAACCCAAAATACAAGTATCAGTCCGAAAATGGGGATAATATTTGTCCTTTAAGATAGCTAATTGAGAACACCACATTTAGCCAGTTAGCAACCTGTTAGCTCGATCAAAAACAATGGCAATTTAACTCTAAACTTTAAAAATAGAGGCCCCTGCTTCAAATAGAGGCCCCTGTTTTAAACAGATACAGTAAAAACAGACGGTTATTTTGATATTGTCTAAGTCTTAGCTTAATGCTACCTCCTTAGCCAGCTATCTAGCTAGTGGAGCACGCGAGCATCCTCATCTAGGTTCAGAGAGACACCATTTAAAAGTTAAATGAAATAAATAGTGACATGACTAAAAAGACAGATGTACAGAGCAGTATTCGGGCCAGGCATAGGGGCAAAAGCAAGAGGATGGAAATATTTTTTTAATTTTGCATTTCGAGGACATTGTCAAAATATTAAGAGTAAAGTCACACTTAAGGTATATTTTCTAACCAGAATAAAGTTCCATGTTTAATTTCAAGGTGTCAACACCATTCTCTAGATTTTTGTTTTATTTAAAACATGTATTTTATTTTATTTTTATAATTTTTTTATGAAAGGGTATTCTGACTTTTTGTCTCTAATTGGTATTTCATCTTTGTTAGACACATTTGAACTTTTCCTTGAAACTTTTTTCGTAATATTTTGACCTTATCCTGAACAATTTTGAGTTAATTCTAACATTTTAACATTGTTCCTAAATTACTTTTTAAACTTTGTTCTCCCTATTTCCCTGACGCCTGGCCATAAAACTCTACCGCATCACAGATGACAAAATAACATGTTATTATAGTGAATTAAGTCAATCATTATTTCCCAAACGATTGTTTTATTTATAAATGTAGGCACATTTGTGTTGTCTGAATGATTTATTTCATAATTATTTATCTATTTATTCATTTAATATTGAACATTTTGGGCCCCAAAAGATGTTGGAAAGACTTTAGACAGTAGGGCCGGTCATACTTTAATGCAGCATGCAGCGTAAGCACACACACACACACACACACACACACACACACACACACACACACACACACACACACACACACACACACACACACACACACACACACACACACCACACACACACACACACACACACACACACACACACACACACACACACACACACACACACACATACACACACACACACACACACACACACACACACACACACACACACACACACACACAAACAAACAGACACACATTCCCCTTCATATGTGATAAATGGCCTGAAAGGCAGGCTAAACTCAGGGCTTCTGCAGAGTTAGAGCCAAGCTAACTCAGGTTTGGCTTCAATGGAATAAGTTAGAATTGCTCACTCAGGGTTGAGGTTGTCTTGCTCTTCAACTGGAAACTGTGCCCTAGCCTCAAGAGCCAAAATGGTCCCCATATCAGAGAGACTTTCTCTGGTTTAAACTGTGAATGCAATGGCTACATTTTGGAGCCACAATCAAAACTCTTTCTCTCATTCATCCACACATTTTGGCCCCCCTTTGACTATCCAACACCATCTATAGGTTCCATTGTTTAAGGTTTTTTGCAAGTGTAAAATGACTCCAAAAGCGTTTGAAATGTTCTTACGTTATCGAATCTCCCCTCTGTTGTGTTTCAGTATTGGAAACATTAAAGGAGAATTATCTTTTGATTGATTCTGCCTCTATGATTAAAACACCCTGTTATTCACTGTTTGATGATGTCACAAAATGTACTGTGTCCAAATGTATATGTGGTATTAAAAAAAGAAAGAAGAAGAACTCAATAAAGTGATGAATGATTAAAAGGTTGTCAGTGTATTTCAATTGTGTTCCATGGGCAGATCTACAGGGAGCCATGAGGGAGCAGCTTACATAGAATTTTCCCATATGCTTCTAGCTTGAAGCACCATTACACACTTTAACAACATTTGTGCATGTTATCAGCTTATTAAATTGCCTCTTGTGTCCAAAAGGACATGAACAGCGGCCTCCTTACACTTTTAATCCAATCAAAAATAAAATAAAAGATAACATTTTGATGCTGAAGTTATAAACACATACAATATAAAGATAGGAAAATATTCAAAAATATATTTTTTTTCTGCTGTCGTTTAACAATATACAAGTAAATGTTTATCATAGTTTTAAATAAGCAAATACCACTTCCCACCTCATTGTTGTGCTCTGTGTGTGTATGTGTTTGTGCGTGCGTGAGGTGTGTGCATTTGTGTGTGTGATTGTTTCAATTTGTGTGTAACGATGGCACCCTAGTGCTGTAACGTGATCTTTTAGGCCCATCCGCTCCTCTTCCTAAAATAACCCCTTCTCACAGCCACCCAACACGCACACAGACTCACGCACAAGGAATAAGAGGCACTGTACCAAATGAGCACTTCTGGTGTCTGTCTGTGTGTGTATGAGTTCTCATAAGCCAACTCAGCTCTGAGGGACATTGTGATTAAGCGGCTGAACTGATCCCATTGGCATTTCAGATTATCACTCTGCAGGGCTCGTCTGCCTTCTTATCTCCTTCCTCTGCAAGGGTCTATGTCACTGATACAGGATTAAGATAGCCCTTTAAGTAAGGTAAGTCAGACATGATTTATCATTTAGACTGTTACTGTCCCTGTTGTGGATCTGCTGCCATTATATCTCAAGAAGGATATGATTTGCAACAATAGTTTTTCACCTCAGAAGCAGCTGTTTCATGTATATCAATGCAAATGGGCTATAAGTCTTTAAAATCAACCTGCATGTATTATTAATTAATAATAAAAAGACTTAATCAACTGCAAGACTTTGGTCATATCTTTTAGGTAATATGACACATTCTTTTATTTTGCTCTATTTTTATTTTTGAATGTCATTTTAAAATGGCCAGCTGCTATTTACAGATTTTGGTATGGCTTCTTTTTTGGGGGCTAACAGGTGCTAGTGCCAGTGCTCAGCTTGCTGTTACACACAACATGCCTGAAATGAAATGTGCTGCAGGGGTGTATTTATGTGTGTGCTGTGTGTGCATTTATTTACAGTATAAATGTGTGTATGTTAGTGCTATATCAGAATAGACCCTATATCTTCTTGCAAGTGAAAGCCAGCGTATCCTTGGTCCTTCAGTGATGATGATGATGTTGAGTGATGACTGTCTGGTGGAGTGTAAGATCGATGACGACAGTGATGAGTACGATGACAGAGAAGAAGAACAAATAACCACGCCTCCTCCTCCTCCTGAGTTTGCATCAAAAGTCCCGACTCCAGCGCCCAAACCTCCAACCCCTTCCACGGCCCCTGCTACGCCCACACCCACCCATACACCCACATCCACCCGTACGCCATCACCCACCCTTCCAGTCAACAGGGACCCTCATGGCATCAACCAGCACCTTAAGGTTCATTCTGTCATCCTCTTCTGCTGCTATTTATTGTGGTGTACCCCAAGGTACCCTTTTAGGTCCTATTTTCTTTGGATTATTTGTGATGACACTGGAGTCTCTTTTGAGAACAGCTCTTATTTTTGCTATGTTTATGACAGGTAGCTGTATTTCCACTTGAAACTGAACAAAGCACATGATCTTAATCCACTTCTAAATTATCTTGAAGATGTTAATTGACATTGGTCACATTTCTAAGACAGAGGTCCTGATCACCAGTCCAGGAGAGATTTCACTATAAAGTAGGCAATCTTCGTGGGGCTCCTTACTCAATAACGTAAGTTAACAGGCAAATAAGAAAGAGAACACTACATGCAGTGTTTAATATGTTTTCTTCCTTTATGTATGACTTTAGAACACAAAAAGTGATAATCATTTTGGCCACTGAAAACCACCCTATGTTCAAACAGCAACTTGGGAAAAATATCCTGGCAACACTGTTTTATACCTGTTACTAATAATGAATAATTTATGGAAAAATGACTAACTTTATTTCACCTGTTCTTAGGTTGTAAAAACAGGAGAGAACTTTTTTTGGATTGGCAATCTATTTATGCTTTTATGTGTTCGCATCTATACTGTAACTGAATACAGTTGCACTTGTTCTATAAACAAACTGCTTTGACTAACCTTGTACCACCCACTATTTTTTCTCATCTATACTGTAGGTAGAGGTCAGTGACGTACTGGCAGAGCCCGCCACACCTCATAGCATTGATCGAGTGTGGCTTCACAGCGTGGTTGGCTTTGAGAAGACTCGCATCTGGACGTACCGCTGCCTCTCCTTGCTGTTTGCAGTTCCTTTAGCTCTTCTTTGTGGAATCTCACTGGCCATTCTCGCCTGTCTACATGTCTGGTATGCCGATGCAATAAAACATTTTCCTCTGAAGTCGTGCACATTAGAGTCACATGAGGCGCGTTCACACCGGAGTACTTTTACCCGTACTTTTACCCGTACTTTTCCCATTTAGTTCCGATAGTGCCTGGAATTTTGCGTTCACACCAAAAAGAGTACTTAGTTCCGAGAACTTTTACCCCCATTTTTAGTGCTTGCTATGGGGCTTTCACACCAACGTGGTTCCAGGGCCAGTTCGGAGCTAGAGCCGGAAAAGCACAGTTTTTTCCTGTTCACACCGCAGCGGAGCCGGCTCTAAGCTCTGAAACCCGGTACTTTTCAAGTACCAAAAAATTGGCGGTCTAGAAGCAAGAACTGCTTACGTTGGAGGCAGGGGCAGGGGCAGGGGCAGGGGCAGGGGCAGGGGCAGGGGCAGGGGCAGGGGCAGGGGCAGGGGCAGGGGCAGGGGCAGGGGCAGGGGCAGGGGCAGGGGTAGGGGCGGGATCAACCTGAGCAATAACAGTTTATGGCGAGTACGGCAAATTAAAGTTGTAACAAGCAGTAGCGCTGACCAAAGTGACTAGAACGCAACCACACACAAAAAAACACACTTTATAAAGTCAGGCAACACTAACCAGGCTTCGTGTGATTCTGTTTATTTGTACCCCACTTTGACCATCCGTTCGCTGTCATTGATCATTGTGGAGAGCAGGCAGACGTTTTGTCTTGTATTATAGCAGCTATCAGATGGAATCAATACATGGGCTGCACAGGTTGTCATGACTCATGTCCGACTATCACAAGTAGAATCATAATGAAAAATACGCCGGTAAAATGTGCCGGCTTATGCCACAATAGGATAGCAACAAGTAGTCAAGATAGTCAGTTTAGCTTCGGTTGCTATGCTAACATCACCCATTTTATAACATAGAAACTTTCATAACAGCTGTGATGCCAAACAGCGGGCAGCACAGCATCGGTCGGTAAATGCCGCTGAACACATTAATAAACAATGAACCACGGCACTCTGGAGAAAAGTACAAGGGTTGAGAAGTAGTTATTTAATTTAATCTGGCTTCGTATGATTAAAAGCAACACGATCATCGACCCGACGCCGTTGGGGACAAAATCAGCGACGTAAACGGTGACGTCATGACGCAGCAGCGGCAGCACCAGTCGGGCTCTCTGCGGTGTGAACAAAACGGTGGCTGAAAAGAAAAACCGGTTCCGAACCAGAAAGCACAGAGCTAGAACGGGAACCGCGTTGGTGTGAAAGGGGCACTAGAGAGGTGGTACTATCCTGGGGAGAAAAAAGTACCAATTTCGATTGGCTGGGCGAATTGCAAACCACGGCCCGTAAAACTCTGAAAAGTTTTGTGAAGCCGCCATTGTATTTGCTGGCATTATTAGCATTAGTCCAGCGCACCAACGGAGAGAGAATAACTTATGGCAACACAAAAAAAACATGGGAGCGGTGGAGATGAGGATGTGTCGGCGTTCTGGCGATTTACTCGGTAGGCTTAAGTAGAAGCTGCTGGGAGTCCCAGCAGCTTCTACTGAAGCCAGTCCCCAACTCCGGGGACTTCCGGCCGGGGACTTCGGGTGGCAGTATACGCCCTGAAGTTGTTTGCGGCCTGCCAGTAAACCCAAAGCAGAAAAAGAAGTGACGTCAGCTGCTTCATCTGCGTAATCTTCCCTCAGGGAACTTATTCCGGTGTGAACGCGATCTGTACTTAGTTCCATGGGGGTACTAAGTGCTGGCACTAAGTGCCGGGCACTAAGTACAGCAAAGTACTTGGTGTGAAAGCGGCTAATGTCACACATTCCTCAAATACAGTGAATGCAGAAGGTTCACTACGATTAGCTACGATGGCCTGTGATCCATTACGGCCCGTCCACACGGCGGCGTGCGTTGAAGCTTCAACACTTCTGCCTAGTGATGGCAGTTTGACACTGAAGCTTCGAACGGAGCTTCAACCCTGGACTTCTTCTATTCCATAGAAGCAGTGCTTCGAAGCTTGCTTCAAATCACGTGACATATGACGTCCGAAGCAGCAACTGCTTCAAATCACGTGACATGTGACGTCCGAAGCAGCAACTGCTTCATTTCCTGAATGAATCAACTCACTGGTTCGCCGTCCAATCAGGTGATTCAATGCACTGCCTCGTCTCGATTCTGACAGGTGACAGGTTGAAACAGTTTCGAATTTGAGCGCTTCAACACTTTATAACCGCTCTAAACAATGCACAATGTGTGGGTTGTTGTCGTAGTTTGCGTTGTTGTGTTGAGTTGTTGGTATTGCATTTTAATTGGATCATTATAGAGCAAGCCAGGAAGAAAGATAGGTCGTTCTGGCTCGTGAAACACTTCGAAATGTGGAGAAGTTGTGAACAAAAAGACAACAATTACTATAAAAACACTTCAATAGTTTAAGGAATAGATAGCCCAGTGAATAGAGCCGGCGGCTAGGATGCGGCGATCTCCTCCTCGCACCTGGTTCAAAGCCCAGAATATACAAACTTTTGATCATTGCTTTTCAACT